ACGAGGCGTGGCCTTTGGCATCAGATCTGAGTCTGTGTGCCAGCTGCACTGCTGACCAGCTCTGTGACATGGGCATAATAACTCACTCACTGGATCGTGATGAGGGTCAAATGAGGAACCCTACGTAGAGCACTGAATTTCTTGTCCAGCACTAAGAAGAAGCCCTGTAGAGAGTTCCCATTCCTGCTTTCTAGAGGTTCCTGGTAAATACTCAGTAATGAATTTTCCCCACCCTCGTTTGGTTGAAATGAAAATGCATCTCTCTCTGCTTAATCATATGGCATTAAACTACCAGAAGATTACAGGACTATTGCTGAGCCAAGAGCCGAGATGAGATTAAAAAACAACAACACACAGCTCAATAATAATTTGGCTGCTTATTTTTAATAAAATCCTGCCAGTAGAGCAGAATCTTTGCCTTCAGAAAAAGCCCCACTTTGCCGGACTGGTGTCTCAGACTGTTGTTAGATGGGATTCCGGACAGTGTGACCTTGAAAACAGAGCCATGTGCAGAGGATACACTCTCAGAGGCTGCAGGGGCTGGTGGGAGGGCAGGGGGGCCCTCAGGGGAGTGTCTGCTGCCCCTCCCATGTGCCTTTCCCGGTCTGCCTTGGATGCCACTGCCCCCCTTGGCTACAGCCCAATCAGGTGCCGGCTCCAGCTCTCCTGCTGCTGTCCTTGGTGAGACTGGGGGAGTGAGTGGCCAGTAGGTGGGCTGTGCAAGCTCACCATTTCCAGGTTCTTGTACCTCCTACTCAGGTATGGGGTCAGGAAGGGGCAGCAGCCCTTTAGAGGGGAGAGGAGCTTGGCACAGGCAACCCTTTTACCAGCTCAGCTCCTTTATATGATGCCAGGGTAGAGCCTGGGCAGTGATGTTCCCAAGGGGCTCCTTTCATCAGCTCTGTCTCAGGGCCTAAGAAGCCTCCCAGAGACGGGGTGGAAGACAGCTTTCCTGTGTTCATGTTGGACAGGGTTGCCCAGGCTTTCCTCTGAGAGCTGCCCAGTCCCCTGCACACTCGTGAGCTCTGCCCTGGAGCCCTGGGGTCAGGGGTCAGGCTGGAGGTCCTGCAGTCACACTTGTTCAGTTGGGGGCTGGAAGAGGCCACAGCACCCACGCGCCTGCAATGAAGAGTGCGGATATAGGCACAGGAAGGATGAGCCGTCGGCGGGTCTAAGCCGGAGGCCGAGCTGACAAGTTCAAAAAGGGTCTGAGCCACGTTATCCTGGCAGCCTTGGGAAGAGGGTTGGGTGGTGTTGGGGAAGCCCTGAGGCAGGGAAGAAGAGGGCCTCTGCTCTGAGCAGTGAGAATAACGCCCCGAGAGGAAGAATAAATGCCCTTTTGCAGCAAATCAGTAATGATCTGGTCATGGTCATCCAGTGCAGGGCTTAATTGGAGTGCTGGGCCCCAGGTGTTCAAACCTGCCCACCCTCGCTTTGTGAGCCCTCCTTGTGCCCCACAGGGCACCTCAGTTTCCAGTGTCTGACCTTCCAGACTGAGCTAAGCACTACCCCTGAGAGGCCCTCCCCTGCAGCTGGTCCTAAGGAAAAGGTGCCTCAGCTTGGCAGGGGCTGTTCCTGGGACTCCATGATATCCACAGTGATGACAATAATGAACTGGCAGGACCCTGACACCCAGTTTGACTCAAAGATGCCAAAAAGGGTCAGAAATAGGAGCTCAGTTCCTGGTCAGGCTACCTCACCCTGGCCCCACTCAGCTCTGGCCCTGGGCGGGTAGCTGTCTACTCATTTCCCCTTGTATGAAATAGGGATGACATGAATACCTGCTTCAGAGCTGAGGACCAAACAGGTCAGCGCTAAGGGCTCAGCACAGTGTGGCTGTGAGCATGGGATTCTGTAGGCTTCAGGCAGCAGGTGTCCCGTCTCCTCTGCTCTACTTCTGTAATGTAAATCTGCCTGGCACAGCCCCTGGTGTGTGCCTGGAACATGCTCTAAACACACATGTTGCCTATGATGGATTTTGTGGGAATGCTCAGAAAATATTGGCTGCGGCCAGGCCTCCACACCTGCTCCTCCTACACAGTCCCAATAAGCAACTTATTTTCTTGGGGTTTTCTCCTTCTACCCTGAGAGCCAGTACTAATCCACTGCCAGTGCCTGGTGTCCCAAGAAGGGGCGACTCAGCATTAGAAACCCTTGTGGGGATTTCTGAGTTCTCAGCTACTCCATGAACCTCCTGTTCCTTTTTGTGATTCCACCGTCTCTCCTGCCTGTCTGCTCAGCTGCCCTGGGGAAGAACCTGTTGGGAGAAAAGAACCTGGTGTCCTCTGCCTTCTCCTCACCCTGCTCCCTGATGCTTGTCCCTTGTCCCCGTGGAGCAGGATGTGGAGTGTCACTACCTAGGGAAGTTATCAGTGGGCCTTGCCATGCCTTTTTTCCAAGGAGAAGGCTGTACCTTTCCACTGTCTTCTTGGAAAATGAGAAAGCTGTGCTCCCTCCAACTTTGTCTGCCTCTTACTGGCTCAGTTTTGCTCCACTTTTTACTTCAGGGTCCCCTTAGCAATTTCCAGCCAGGCCTTTCTGTATGGGGAGCCCCCACTTCCACATTCATATGAAATTTAAGGGGAGATTTACACCAATTGGAAAGTACTTTGCAGATTAACTGCCCATCAAGAGCTTTTCAAAGGACAGTTTTCAGGTAAAATTAGGAGACCTTGGGTACATTACTGCTCACCCCAGAGATGTTCTTCCAGAAATGTGACTACTCTGACAGCAGCTGGGGCACTGCAGTCTTTCCTGGCACTACCTGCCCAGAGTTGGCATCAGACTCCGCAGTGTAAGAATACAGTCCCTAACAAGACTGCCCCCCACTTCAGATGCCAGCCACAAGTGGGGTTCCCAGGGACACCACACTTCTGACCAACTGGCTACAAATCTGAGTGCTCTCCCATGACCCTCCTCAGGTTCCATAATTCTCCAGAACAACTCATACAACTTAGGAAAGTGCTCTACTTAGAGTTACAGTTTTATTATAAAGGATACAGATTAGGAACAGCCAAATGAAGAGAAATGACAGGCAAGGTCAGTACAATAGTGGTGGTGATATCAGCTCTCTGTTACCTGCTACCCACCCCCTTCCAGTTTTAAGCATTTCCTGTGTGGCTGGCACTTGAATAATCTTATTTCATTTCTACTACTGCCCTTTGAAGTCTTTGATGTTATGCTTATTTTTAAATGAGGCACTGAGGTCCAGAGGGGTAGGGACCACCTCAGAATGACGCAGCTAAAAGCACTCCAGCTAGGATTTGAATCCAGCTGACCAATTCCAGGTCAAAGATGGAGCCACCTAAATTTGCCCCAAACACGGTCTGTCAGGCGTTCCTTCTGGCTAGAAGACAATTCTCTTTGTTACAAATGTTGGCTGTCATGCGGTGGCTGTCGCTCTTGTCTGTTATATGTTGCACCACCGAGGTTTTGGAACTGGGGAAGGACTTCTGCAGAGGAGCCCCTGTGGGCTGCCCTGGTCCATGCAGGCAGTGACCAGCCACCGCACCAGGCTGAGTCTGTGGACATACTGTCCGAGAATCGGGGAGAGGCAGAATCGAGAACTCTCAGGCTTTCCCACCAGGTTTTTCTGTTCCTGGCAGCCCAGAGCAGAAGGGACTATGAGCCAGGGCCATGGCAGACTTGGTGGGACAGTGTAGAGAAGCACTCCATGCCAGGCCTGACCTAACAGATGTTCCTTTATTCCCTTCCTCCCCTCCAGATGATGGAAATGTCACGGTAGGCATTTCTGCCACTGCCAAGCCCCAGGGGACCTGCGCACAGTTGGGTCAGAAGCCAAACCCTGCAGTTAGGGAAATTAGCGTTACTCATGGGATTCCCAAGAGACTTCTGGTTCTCTTAGCCATAGCAGTGGTTCTCAGTTGGGTGTTCCTGCCACTTAGAGGGCATTTGTAAATACGGGG